TTCAAACTTACGGTAGTCTTATCCCCCTCAGCACTGATGAGGTAGTAGAGAAGTTGGAGGACATTTTCCAGCAAGAGTTTTCTACACCTTCCAGGAAGGGCCTAGTGCTACAGCTGATCCAGTCTTACCAGCGCATGCCAGGCAATGCCGTGGTCAGGGACTTCCGAGTGGCTTATAAACGTCATGTGCTGACCATGGACGACTTGGGGACCTTATATGGGCAGAACTGGCTCAATGACCAGGTAATGAACATGTATGGAGATCTGGTCATGGACACAGTCCCTGAAAAGGTGCATTTCTTCAACAGTTTCTTCTATGATAAACTCCGTACCAAGGGTTATGATGGAGTGAAAAGGTGGACCAAAAACGTGGACATCTTCAGTAAGGACCTGCTGCTAATCCCCATCCACCTGGAAGTGCATTGGTCTCTCATTTCTGTTGACGTGAGACAACGCACCATCACCTATTTTGACTCTCAGCACACTCTAAACCGTCGCTGTCCTAAGCGTATTGCCAAGTATCTACAGGCAGAGGCAGTGGAGAAAGACCGATTGGATTTCTACCAGGGTTGGAAAGGTTACTTCAAAATGAATGTGGCCAGGCAGAATAATGACAGTGACTGTGGAGTCTTTGTGTTGCAGTACTGCAAGCACCTGGCCCTGTCTCAGCCATTCAGTTTCACTCAGCAGGACATGCCCAAACTTCGCCAACAGATCTACAAGGAGCTGTGTCATTGCAAACTCACTGTGTGAGCCTTGTGCCCTGGACCCCAAGTCCTTTACAGGTCAGGGGACATCGAAAACCTTCCTTCTGAGAAACTCCAGTTCCTTGTGTTTCCTTCCATGCCCAGCCCTTTTGGTTTTTCATATTTAAATGTTTTAATTGATTTCTGTATTTCCCCCTCCCCCTCTTTGAGAGGGTATTTGTTGAATTCTGATGGGCAGGGACTAGCCATGTAAAGCCTCTTTCTCCTGCTGTAAGGGATGTGGCCTGGGTGGGGCAATCATAGGCCTTCTTTGTGCAGGGGAGTATGGAGGGATTTTCAGGCTCCCATACCTGGAATCCAGGTAGAATTGTTACATCTCTTCACCATAGTTGTTTGTGTATTCCAAGAAATGACTACGATCTCTAGCTTTGCAATAAAAGCTGCCTGCCTGGGGTCATCTTATCTTTTATGATTTGGGGTAAAATATAGGCATCATAGGTTTTACTTTTCTCCTCTGAAATATCACGAATCGGTGAAACGGGACTGTTTGGAGGGACTGTTCTCAGTACAGTGCCTGGTGCCTCCTGAGTGTTTGGTATAAATTAACTAAAAAGGAAGCGGGTCGGTGGAAGAGAGGAAGACCTTCAACAAGATGGATTGACACAGTGACTCTCACAGTGGACTCCTGTATATCAGAGGTGATGAAGATGGTGCAGAATAGGGCAGGGTTTAGATCCATTGTTCATAGCATTGCCAGGAGTCAACTTGATGGCACGTAACAGCATTATAATCCGTAGTTTATAATCCCTGCAACTCTGATGGCAGTGGTGATTGAGATTAGAATCCAAGAGCTTTAGGCCCGCCCAACAACAACATCCTTTAGTGACATTTTGGGATCATCAAAAGAAAGTGAGTATCACCATAAAGCCCACCACGTACTTTTTTGTCTTTCTGCTGCTGGCTGAGCCAAACGTGGAGTGGCTAGTGGATTTGAACTGACACCCTTTCAGTAGCATAATCCTACAAAAGTCATGTTTATACCATAAAGTGAAATAACATGGCGAAAGTATTTGAAATACTGTGAGAATTGACAAAAGGTGACACTGAAACATTGAGTGGGCACATTTGTCACAGCCCTTCTGTTTGTAAGAACAGCAAAATCTGGGAAGCACAGTAACATGAGGTCTGCCTATAGAAGAGGCTGCAGCAAAATCGCAGTATCGCCTCCCTGTGGAGATGTCCCAGCCTTGAAGGGGCAGAGCCGAGATCAGGATCAGAATTGTGTCCCTCTGTCCCAGGCTCCGGCTGTTTAGGGACCTTTTACTGAAGGCAGCGTCTCCAGAGTCCTGGTTAGTGATGATAACGGTTAATGCAGGAGCTGCAGTCACGTTCCAGCCTGTCAGTTCTCCAGGAAGGATCCTTTTTTGCCTGACTTAAAAAGGTTTGGTGAATTTGGATTGGAGTTGGATCTGTCCCACAGCATTCATCAGCAAGCATCTTAGGATCTGAAGACAAAGCAGACAATAGGCTTAATACTGTGTTCTGGTTTTGGAAAGAAATGTTGCCATCAAATTGGTCCCAGTTCATGGCGACCCCACGTGTTCAGAGTGGTTCTGAGCTGCTCATGGTTTTCTTGGCTGTAATCTCTCCAGAATCCAGAGCTTGCTTCTGCATTGAATCCTCTGGGAGGATCAAACCAGCAGCCTTTTGGTTAGCGGGGCTGTGCCACCTAGAGGCTAGATCGGGGAACACGTCATTCTCTTTACAGAAGAGGGACCGTGAACTCTGAGGCCAGTAGCATTTCTGCAAGAGAAGATGGGGGAGGTGAGAGGGAAAGGAATATTCCCAACAGTGGAAATTACCCAGGACAAGATAAGGAATCTGGGAACTTTCCAGAGAGAGGAGGGATCCTTCCTGGCTTGAACCCGGAGCCAAAACTAACTCTTGAGTCTGTGTTGTAGCTGACAGTCTCTCAAAAAGAATATCTCCTGTTAGTGGTAGTGCCTTAAAAAAACCCAAAACAAACCACTTGAATGAGACCAGATGGTCAGCAAGCACTTTAAAACAAAGATGAGAATGTAAAACTGAAGACACCCCAGTGCCACTGAGGCAGCTATGACTGACAGTGACTCTGCAGGACTAAGTTCACGGCCTGTAGGTTTTTAAGGTGGTAGATCTCCATGGAAGCCGGCTGCCACATTGTTTTCTCTCAGGGTGGCTAGAGGATTCAAACCTCCAAGCTTCAGCTTAGCCACCCAACATTGAATCCACTGTACCATCAGGGCTCCTTGAGAAAGTACAGGATCAGGGCAGCTAGATGAATGGAAATGGACCAACCAGAACAGAAGCAATGAGAGCGTACATGCGTTGTGAAGATTGTTACTAATTTCACTGAACAGCTTGTGAATAGAAACCTAAACTGCTGTGTACACTGTCTCTGAACACAAATTTTTTTTTTAAATTTTATTATTTGTTGTGTGTTTACCGTCAAATTGGATCCGACTGGTACAGGAGGAGATTGTCCCTCCTTCTCCAGCAGAGCATCTGGTGGATTCAAACCATGTACCTCTGGGATTGCAGTGCAGCTTCTTGCCACTAGGCCACCAGAGCTCCATAAATTTTTTTTTTTAAGAAAAATAGTGATGGGACGTGAGGAGATGCTACGGGAGGGTCTTGAGTGTGATACCCACCGGCTTTGGGGTTTGCTCTTTAGGAATTTGGCTCTTGTACTTCTTTTGGAAAAGAAGTCCTCTGTGTACTCCAAAAGCAGTCAGTCCCTCACATAACCCATAAACTGAAGCCGAGTAGAAGAGACCCTTGAGGGCAGTTTAATAAGAGGGGTTTTATACTCTGGAGTCACGGACTTAGGAAGGAGAGTCATCACGTTTTCCGCAGAGCCCTGATTTTCAGTGCCGTCTTTCAGCATCAAGTCTGCATCTTTTACAGAGGAGGTCACACAAGTGTCAGCAGTTCTGAAACGCTGACCAGCTCCTTCCAGCAAAGACTCACATGAATTAATTACCCTGAACTGAAAGCCGTGACAGCTGGGGTGGACATGCTGGGCTCGGATTACCTTCACGGTCAGTTTTTGGGGTCCGAGGCATTAACGGAGTCTCTGTGAAGGTATCGGGGCAAAACTCAGAATTGTGAACAATGTAACCAAGCAATTTAGGCTGATTTCGTATGTTGTTAGGTGCCATCGGGTCGAAGGCAACCCTGAACAAGAGATCTGAACCTGTTCCTGCAACTTATGTAGAAATTGCTAAATGGGAACGTGAAATGCTGTGTTAATCTTCACCAAAAACATAATAATTTTTTTAAAAGAGAAAGTTGGGTTAGTGATGGGGAAAGGTGAAGTCCAGTAGTGGCCAAGTGGAGGTCACGAGGATCTTACTTTTGTTGTCTGTTTCTTGCAAAAAGCTGCGTTCAGATCACCATTTCTTTGGTTTTGTTAAAATGTAAAGGAGGCATTATCTTTGAGTGATGCATCCTGAAGAATGTACAGAAAGATGAAGCAGCATCTAGGATTTGTTTTATGGTAATCCTGGGGCAGGGATGTGAGTGGGGTCATAGTGGGAGCCCTCTATTTTTTGTGCTGCATTTGTCTTTCACATTCCATACCTGCAAGAGTTAAAGGCCCTTTAAAAGCATTTAAAGAGGCTTAGACATCTCCATGGGGATGGAGGATGCATTTGAAATCCCCATCCCCTTTGGACCTTGTTGAAGGGACCGGACCGCTGCTGGCATAGTTGTGGTACTAACCCAAAGGCCATGATTCTCTGGCAGTTCAAGTCTACTCTCTGCTCCAAGGGAGAAAGATGGGCAGTCTCCTCCCATAGGAGTTGTTCTATGCCGTCGAATTGCCCATGACTCATAGCGACCCTATGTACATTGACTCTGAACCCTGCCCTATCCTGAGCCAGTCTCACTCTGACATACCTAATCCCATTGCCTCAGTTACATGCTGATCCATCTCATCCGGGGTCTTCCTCTCCTACGCTGTCCTTCCACCCTTCCAAGCATGATGTCTTTTTCCAAGAACTGGTCTCTAAAAACTCGCTGGCGACTCAGCCACTGGGTCAGATCCAGACCAGCATCTCCCATGGAGACTGTGCTGCTTCCTGAATCTTTTGAATCCAAAACCAACTGTGAAATTAACCGTCAGCCTTTTGGGGAAGAGTCGACATGCTTGGAATTGGCTGGGAGTGAGTAGTGTCTTGAAATGTCCTTTTTCAGTTTCTAGGTGGGTGTCCTCCGTTTCAAGCCTCCTGGAAGGGGAGCCTCGATCGGGACCATGCGGCATGATCGCACATCATCGGTGAGTGGGTGGGACCAGGCCTCTGCTTTGCTGTGAGAGGAGGGTGGAGTTGGTGCTGGCCGCCTTTGCACCTCAGTTCCTGGCTTTGAGGGACGCCCTGCTTGCAGCTGGGGTTCCTTAGCCTCTATAGTGTCCCAGAAAGGCTGACGGGTTGGATCTGCTTCATGGGACTGGTGGGAAGACGGTTGGGTGCCTGACACAGAGCAGAGGCCACCTGAATGCATGCGCTTCTTCTCCTCAGAGCGCCAACAAATGGATGCCTATCGCCAAGGAGTACGACCCACTGAAAGCTGGCAGCATCGACGGCACAGATGAAGAGCCCCACGACCGGGCCGTCTGGCGGGCAATGCTGGCCCGTTACGTCCCCAACAAAGGCGTCACAGGAGATCCCCTCCTCACCCTGTTTGTGGCTAGGCTCAACTTGCAGACTAAAGAAGAGAAGTTAAGGGAGGTGTTTTCCCGGTATGGTGAAATCCGGCGGCTCCGGCTGGTTAGGGACCTTGTCACTGGCTTTTCAAAGGGCTACGCCTTCGTGGAATACAAGGATGAGCGGTCCCTGGTCAACGCATACAGAGATGCAGATGGCCTGATTATCGACCAGAACGAGATCTTTGTAGACTATGAGCTGGAAAGGACACTCAAAGGCTGGATTCCCCGGCGGCTCGGAGGGGGACTGGGCGGCAAGAAGGAATCGGGACAGCTGAGATTCGGGGGCCGGGACCGACCTTTCCGGAAACCCATCAACCTGCCCGTGGTAAAGAATGACCTCTACCGAGAGGGGAAAAGAGAAAGGAGGGAGCGATCACAATCCCGGGAAAGGCACTGGGACTCGAGGCCGAGGGATCGAGACCATGACAGGGGCCGGGAGAAACGGTGGCAGGACAGAGAGGCCGCCAGGGCATGGCCCGAAAACAACTGGGAGAGGGACAGGGACAGGGACAGAGACAGAGACTTTAGGGATGACAGGGTGAAGGGCAGGGAGAAGAGAGACAGAAGTAAATGAAGTTCAGCAGTGAGGACGGGGACAAAGACTGAGGTACCGTGGGGTCTGCACACCGGGGGGTCTTGTGTGTTTGAATAAATGTCACAGACGGTTATGGGTCTGCAGTACTTTCTCTTTCCAGTCTAGAGCCCAAGCTGTCATGGATACATGACAACTTAGCTGCCATGACTCTCAGTGCTTTGACAGTTACTAGACAAGGTGGTATCCCCTGTGATGCAGTGTGATGAACCGTCCTGATACCACAGTGTAAAGGGACTGCAAGACTGTTAATCAAGGCATGGCTTGAATTAGGGGAGTTTCCCGGGCGTGTGGCCTCCATCACCTTGTATCTTACAAGAGAGTAAAAAGAGAAGCAAGTGAGCAGGGGCCCCACTGTTGCCAGGAAAGGAGAGCCAAGGGCAGAGCGTGTGCTTTTGGACCCCAGGTCCTTGTTCTGGGAACCTGGAACCCAGGGACGCACCAGGAGAAAGCCTTCCCGAGCTGGCACTCAGAGTCCTAAGCCCGGAGCGTGAGTTTGGTTGTTTTAAAGCCATCCACCTTGCTGACAATGGGTCCAAAACATCCTGGGCAGAGTCAGGCACCTCAGACAAGGTTGAGATGTTCTCTGAGGAATGGCACACCAATGGCAGGTCGATGACAGAAGACTCGGAAACCTATGATGGGTGTGTGACTTGCTGGAAAGGGATCAGCCATTTGATTCGAAGCACCCTGCGCTGCATTCCATGGCGGCTCAGGACAGTCTACAGGCGTCTGAGGCACTGAACGTCCACCCTTCCTTCATTGCCCCGATGGAGAACTTGTAATCAATATTGTTTACCTGACTCTGTTCTCTGTACTTCATCGTGAGGACTCGTGTTTTGTCCAGAGAACCCTTTGCATAATTGACTTTCATCTCTCAATAAAATGTTTGCAAATTTAAAAAAAATAAAACCATCCACTTGTGGTGCTTCCGCAGCACTAGACCAAGACAAAGCTTTAAGGGGAATACGCTGACGTTACGAATTCGCCTGCATTGTCTGTAGGAGTTTCCTGTGGCTGCTCTAACAAAACAGAACATATTGGGTGGCTTAAAAACCACTGCTTCATTCTCTCTGGAAGCCAGCAGTCTGAAATCAGTGTCAACAGGGCTGTGCCCTCTTTCCCCTGGCTTCTGGGAGCTTCAGGAAAGGCTTCATATACCTTGTCTTGGAGCTGCCTCACTCCAGCCTACACCTCACATGATCTCTTCCCTCTGTGTTCACCTTCTTGTGTGTAATACATCATCTGTAACATTGTGGTTTGAGTGAAAATGTACAGAGCAAATTCATTTTCCATTCAACAGCTCTACACATTGTTTTATGACAGGACACAGGAATAAATCCCGCACCGATACAGCAGACTTCAGTGGCTCGACCTTAGCACTCTTGGCACTTGGGTCATGTAATTGTTTGCAGTTGGGGGGCTGCCCTGAAGACAGTGGGGTGCTTGTCACCCTGGCTTCAGCTCAGTCTGCTGCCATCAGGTGGATTCCCACTCCTAGCAGAACTACCCAACTGGGTTTCCAAGGCTGTGGTCTTTGTGGGTGCAGACAGCCTCCACTTCCTCCTGGGGACTCCTTGGGCTGTCTCTAGCCTCTGATCAATGGGATAAACCGCCCAAGGTTGAGAACCTTTACCTTAGTGATGTGGCGTGCTCTTCAGAAGATTGTTATGAGAAAAGGTACAGAACAGCAGTTATATTGCGTGCTGACATTTATATAAACAAGGAGAGTGGTAGTGTATATGTTGTTAATATGTGCCATCGAGTCGTTTGCGACTCATAGTGACCCTATGTACAACAGCCCTAAACCCTGAACTATCCTGTGCCAATCTCATTGCCTCTGACACACCCATCCCAATTACCCCAGTCACTGAATCAGTCCAGCTCATAGAGGGTCCTCCCCTCCTGCGCTGTCCCTCCACTCTGCCCAGCATGATGTCCCTCTCTAAAGACCTGTCTCTCCTTACATGTCCAAAGTATGTCAGGCGAAGCCCCAGAATCCTTGCCTCCAAGGAGCAGCCTGGTTTAACCCTCTCTAGGATGAATCTGTTTGTTTTCTTGGCAGTCCATGGTACATTCAATACTCTTCTCCAGCATATATAGTGTGTGTGTGTGTATGTATATATATATATAAAGTAAATATGCAATTATCTATAACCAAATATGCAAGGAGTTCTGTAGATATAAACAGACATGGGGTTCGGGTGGTGTAGTCTGTGGGGACCTGCACTGTTAACTGAAAGGTGGTACCTCTCTGGTGTTTCAAATCCACCGGTGGCTCCTCAGGAGAAAGACGGGCAGTTTCCTCTCATGCTCTTTACACCCTCCCAAAACCCGGTCAAGTCACTGTCATGGGAACGGACGCATCGCTGACCTCCCAGCAGGTTTGCAGAGGTTGGAAATCACACAGGAGATTGGCCCATCTTTCTCCCTCAGAGCAGCTGGTGGATTCAAACCACTTGTCTTTGGGTTGGCAGTGAAACTCCTTACCCATTAGGCCACCAGAGCTCCCTCGATGTGCACAGATTAATGCAAATAGCGTGTGTATTTATAAGCTCTTTCTAGAAAGATAGCTGAGAATCAGGTTGACATTAGTCACCTGTGGGAAGAAGGTAGCAGGGGAATTCCTTAGCCACATGCTACTCTGAAGGATACTCGGCTGTCCCTCCAGAAAACAAATGTCTTGAAGAGGAGCTGCCAGAATGCTCTTTAGGAGGGAGGAAGGTGAGATTTCATCTCGGGTCCTTTGGGTATGTGAGCAGGAGGGACTCATCCTGGCTGGTAGAGGGTCAGCGGGCAAAGTGGAAGACCCTCGAAGAGGCGGACTGAGTCGCTACAGCAGCGGGCTCAAACCTGGCAAAGGCTGTGAGACTGGGCAGGGTTTCTTCTGTTGTGCAGGGTTACCGAGTCGGGGCCCACTGCCACAAGAGGTTAGAATTCTAGACGTGCTGTCTGGTCATTCGGAAACAGAACGGAAATGGCCACCACTGTAGATCTGCGAATTCATCTAATGGCTTTTAGCAAACATTAGAAGATGCCTGAAAAGGGACTGCTGTCACGTGGACTTGAGCAAAATGATAGAAAACCCCACAGCTTGTGAGCTCCCAAGTCTATGCTCCCGAAGTCCCAAGGTAGAGCGACTATCATCTGGGCAAACCCAAGGCCCCAATTGCAGTGTACAAGGTATCTGTCTGGGGACCAGGGTGCCTTGTGAGCTGGCTAGACTCAAGGTTTCGGTCCACCACCCCTGCCCTCAGTCAGGCCTCCTTGCAGCCTACAACCCTAGGTACCCTCACCACAGTCCCCAGCTGCTTCAGGACATCTGTCTTAGCAGGGACTAAGTGACATACAAACCTGGCCACCGTTGATTTCCACTCTGGGCAGACCTGTTTGTGAGTGACTCCCTCCACAGGGTGGTCAGTGGCTGACATTTCGGAAAAGACTCCCCACCTCTCCTCCCAGGCACCCCTGGGTGAGATCAAACCACCAACCTTTTGGTTAGCTGCTGTGCATGTTAACCATCGCATCATCCAGCAAACCGAAAGCACCCCAGTGCAGTGGGCCAAATGTGACTCATGGAACTCTTCAGGGCCGGGCAGAGCTGCCCCCCCAGGGGTTTCAGAGGCTGTAGTCTGTACGGAAGCAGGAGTGGCATCCACTTCCTAAATAACATGCCTCCAGAAATTCTATGAACTCTTTGATAAATGTTGACTTATCAGTTGTAGAGGGGCTTCAGGTCTTTTGTTCATAGGGTCCACTGAGTGGTGCTCAACTTGAAGGCAATCAACAACAACAACAATCTTTACAGAAACAAGACAGCCTCTTCTTCCTACCCAGTGACTGGAGGGTTGGAACTACTGATCTTTTGGTTAGCAATCTAGTTACTGTTTTAACCACTACACCACCAGGGCCCTGGCATCATACCCAACCCAAACCCAAACTCCGTGCCACCACATTAATCCGGACTCACAGCAACCTTCCACCGGGTTCCCGAGTCTGGGTCTTTATCAATGGAGACAGTCTTCGCACAGAGCGGTGGGTGGATTTGAATCACTGACCTTTCAGTTAGCAACCCAGCATGTTACCCGTTAAAGGAAAAAGATGCCAGCACGGGGAGAAAAAAACCAGTCCACACAAGATTTGTTGTAATGTCTCATCCTTAGCAACTTTGTTTGATTAGTACTGTGCAACTCACAGCAAATTCCAAGGCACGCTCACCTTCAACACAGCAGTGCACTAGAGGCATTCCCAGGCACGCGGCGCCACAGGACCAGGGGCTCCCGTTGGCTCGTGTCCAGCTCCCACTGGGACCGCTGTCCTGGTCATCACTTGCTTTGTGTCTGGGCCGGGCCAGCTGCTCTGATGGCTTCAGAAGCCTCCCTCTGCTTGTCCAGTGGTTTCATCCTGTCACATGCCATCACCCTGGACGTTTCCAGGGCAGAATTGTCGAAAGGCTACCACCCCCTACTTCCCACTAGAGTATTACACGTGTGATAAAAAAAATAACTCTCTGCACAGATATTTGGAAACCAAGCAAGTCAAACGGCGATTCTAGTGGCGAGTGATGTATTTGGTTTAAAGAAGCTCGTGTTGTACTAACGCAAGAGTCCAGGCTCTGTTCACTGGATCATTAAATATATAACCAACAGAGCTGAGGCCCCCTCCTGTAAACGGTGAGAGCCCTGGTATAAATAATCCGTTCTGGAGAGTTCCGTGTCAGTTTGGATAGGTCCTTCCTCAAAGCAGTCTGTTTGAGGACTGAGTTTGGAGAGAAACCACCGAGAGGTGGGTAAGGCAGTGACACCCATGGCAGTGGGTCCGGGTCCCGGGCCAGGGTCACTGGTCACAGGTGCTGCAGGGCCTCCTGTCCCTGCTCTGTGTAGCCATCGTCCCGCTGGGAGTTCGCCCACTGGCCGAAGGACTCGTGGATGTGCACACTCCTCTGCGCGTTGGCCAGGCGCTTTTTGTCCCGGGAGAAGAAGCTAAACCTTTAGGAGAAGACAGGGAAGACAGACAGACATGAATGAGTGCCTCTCCTGGCTACGTGCTTCCCACCTCGTCACGCTGAGCTCAGGAAGAGAAGCAGTAAACGCAGGGGGCAGGGAGCGTTCAACTCGGGCCGAAGGAGGGAAAACTGGGGTGCCGATCCTGGTGTTCTAGGGAAGCAGCAGGGGGCTGTGGGCATCACTGCACCCTGCAGACAACATGTCCATGTGTATGCTGTGCCTCAGGCATTGGTGAGGACCCCAGCCCCTCTCACTGGGGAGAACAAGTACTACAAGGAACATACGCTTTGGGTTCCTCTAACCAGCCTCGTAGCAGAACTGTGCAGGTCAGTGACCATCCAATGGGATGGTGACACTCTGGACTTGAAAGCCGTGTGCACTGGAGGCAAGCTGACCGCTGTCCCATCACCTCCTGCTGCCGATGCTTCGGTTCATATATGGACCCTGTATGACTGGAGGTCCCCAGGATATAAGCCACAGAAGCAGGCTGCCGCCTCTTCCTCCCCTGGAGTGGCCGGTGGCTTTAAACCTCTGACCTTTTGGTTAACAGCCTGGAGTGTAGTATGTCATGAGGGCTCCTTCAGCTTGAAGGTGACAGATGCCTCTTTTTAAAATAATTACCTACTTTTGTAATGTAAAATCAGGAAAATGGGCAAGTCCCCTATCAAAGCCTCACTTTTGAAAATTATACTTAGGATGAGGCCAAAGGCAGGCATGTAAATAAGGAAAAATGATCCCATTTAAAAACATACTGAGAGCTAGGTACAGGTCCTTTCCAACCTAGGGTGGCGTTTGAGGGCTCTGATAAGGTGGTTCTCATGCAGGTTGGTACCTCCCTCTTTTTTGTTTTTATTATTGTTGCCATAGCCTGCTGTGTGGTACTATTTCAGATAGTCTTATCAAAACACTGACCATCTGTGAGCAGACCACATACAGCAATGCCATCGATATGACTAAGAAGAGGAGGCACAAACCCAAAAACCAGACAGTTCCAGGTCCTAAGTGCACTGAATTGAGTACGTCAGAGGCTGGGGAGACTAGTTATACGTGTGAGTGTGTGTGTGTGTGTGTGTGTGCTTACGTGTGCATCAGTCCCTCCTGCTAAGCTGGAACCAACTCCTGGTGACATTCCACGGGCTTCCAAGGTGGACGGCATGGGCGGAGACTGCCCACCTCCCTCCCGAAGAGCCACTAGTGGATTTGAACCACCAGAGAGCCGGGTTAGCAGAGCAACTCTCCATGGAATACAGCCCTATACAGACATGTATATATACACCAAAAAAACAAAACCCAAAACAAAACTGAGACCCACTGCTGTCAGTCGATTCTGCCTCCTGGCGACCCTCCCTCGGGTTTCTGAGGCCGTGAATCTGGGAAGACACTGCCGAGGTTTCTCCCTGAGAGCTGCTAGTGGGTTTGAGCTGTCAGACTGGAGGTGAGCAGTCCAACCCATAATGCCCTCTGCCCCCAGGGCTCCTGTGTGTCTGTACATGTGTGTACACTGTTGGTACGAATGGCACTGAAGCCACTGAGCTGCTCGTGCGTCAGGTGGCCTATCTTTGGTTTCCCAACTGCTTTCCTGTTGCTGTTTCATGTTCATCACATCTGGGTGAAAAGTGTTTTTTATTTATTTACTCTTTGGTGGTTACTGGCCCTAAACTCATGTCTAAAAGAAAGAAACTGCCCTTTGGTCTGGGGAGCCCCGGCTTCTCTGGGAAATGCTCTGAGGCACCTGAGGTCTCCTCCCGAGACACAGATGTGTGCGAGCAAGTGACAGCTGGCGTGGCTTTCACTCAGGGTCACTCGTGCCCTTTCCATGTGTTGGAGGTTTGCTTCGTGGCTGTCTGAGTGGATTCTAACTTCTGGTGACGCTGTGTGTGTGCGCGCGCACAGTAGGGCTGCTCCAAGGCTGTGACCTTTAAGGGGCAGACTGCCAGGCCTTTCATCTGAGGTACCTCTGGGTGGGTTCAAACTGCCAACCTTTCGGTTAAATCATTTAATTAATTAATTGTCGCTTGATTTAATCATCCCGTGTTAAATCATGTAATGGAAATTAGGAGACTGGACACCCAGAGCCTTTGAGTCATTCCTTATTCCAAGCAATCCTCTGCAGGACATGATGGAACAGGTGGGTTTCCAAGGCAGGAAATCTTTACAGGAGGACACTGCCACAGCATTCTCCTGCTGAGCAGCTGGTGGATTAGAACCGCCAACCTTCTGTGTAGCAGCCAAGTGTTTTAACTAATATTCCACCAGGACTCCTTATCAGGGCGCAGGCCAGGCTTATAGCAGCAACACATCACTCTGCCCCTTCACGTCCCAAGTGAGAAGGAATGCCACTCGGCAGGTGGCACTGAGGGGACATGAGAAGAATCCAAACACTGGTGCCCTGCTCTCTATTAGCCAGGGCAGATGGCTTCCTGGGGACAGCCTGGCAGGACAAAGCAGTTTAGGAAGCTCGGGCGTGAAGGCTGAAAACACAGTGTTAGTGTCACTCGGAGACCACAGGGATGCCGCTTACTGACCCGTCACTCCCAGGCCCGTCTCTACTGGAACACGGACAGGGTGGATTTAGAACGGAAACAGAAGAGACAGAGAATTATCGGTGACGGAGCTGAGACTCCGGGCGCCCCTCATGCGGGTCGAGGGCTGTGATGGGCACGTCTGACATCGTGTGCTAGAGACCCGTCACAAACAGGGCCAACGCGGGTGACCGCCATGCAGCTGAAGCAGCCAGGAGGACATGCCAGCCCCTGCAGCACTCCCAAGGCGCACACTCAAAAGGAAACCAGAGTTGGTGCCTACAAGGGCGATAAGTCCTCGCACGGGCTGCAGCGTGGGGTCGTCTATGATCAGTCCAGCTGCCACCATGGGCATTATGGCTGTAAAGATCCTGGGCAGAGAAGTACAGACAGACAGCGTGAAAAAGAAACACACTCCAGCCGGAGGGTGTGCTTGTGGAGACCACCCCTCTCTGGGGATCCGCGGTGGCACTTGTGCTTGGGGGTCCTCCAGTTTGTCTTCCCCGGCTGCCATGGGCTCCAGGCTCTGTGTGCGTGGCAGGCAGCCAGGGAGGACAAGAAGCAGGAGGGGCAGGAGGTGGGCAGGATGGGCTCAGCAGGACACAGCGGGGGGACCGAAGACACAGCAGACCGAGCCCCCTGGCTTAACCAAGTGACTCTAGATGCTTTCTCTGAGGGTGGTTGCAAGAGAAGAAATCCATCATCTCAGGTTCAGCGTGAGTGAACTCTGAGTGCTTAGGGTCACCTCTGACACCTCGGAGTCGGCATCTTGGCAGAACCCTCTGTGTGGCTTCTCAGGGTGACAATGCAAAAGGAGGTGTCCATTCCCCGGAGGCCAGGCTGCTGGGCTTTTTAGGGAGCTCCAAGCCACACTGTTCAGGTCCCACCAGGATCCCCAAGATACTTGTTGCTCTGGAGGGTGACCCTCAGACATGGAGACCTTTGTTCGGAAAAGCCCTTGCTGACCTGGTGATGCTGGACTTCCTTTCAGGACTAAGACTGATATACAAGGTCCCTGGGACTCCTGGGGGAGGGGAGAACTGTGAGCAGGTGGCCGCCAGCTTTCCTCTCCCACACAGAAGGGGAGCAGAGGCCTCCTGCCTGCCACGGATTAAAACAGCCCCTGTGAGGGGAGCTCTGGTGGCCTAGTGGTAAGGAGCTGCAACTACAATCCCAGAAGCACACAGTTCGAATCCACCAGATGCTCTGCTGGGAAAAGGAGGGACAATCTCCTCCTGTACCAGTCAGATCTGATTTGACGGTACACTCACACAAAAATAAAAATAAAAAAAAATAGCCCCTGTGAAGGCTGCGGCTGCTGGGATGGGAAAGCTGGGGTGCAGAGTGGGGGCTAACTCAAAGGCCAGACTGCCTGCCTCCCTGGAGGAACACAAGCCTTTGAACCGTCAACCATAGGTGAACATTTGCTCAGGAAAATAGCTCAGAAAGCTGGGAGAGGAATGAAGGACAGTGGAAACCCAGGGAGGGAGTGGGGAGAGTGCTGTCACAATGTGGGGATGGCAGCCACTGCCAGGAAACATAACATATAGTATAGGAATGAATGGAACACCAGTTTGCTCTGTGAGCACAAATACCAATTAAAAAAAGTTAATAACTAGAAGTGTACAAGGTGGGAGGAAGATGAGCTGTTTTAGCCCAGATTTTAGGCCCTGGATCTAGGCTAGCTGGTCTCCCCTCCTTCTCTCCCTCCCTCCCTCCCAGTCTTTCTGGAAGCCTCTGGAAAGCCGTGTTGGAGCAGTGGCATCTCAGGCTGAATTGCTGTGAAATAGAGCAGAAGCCAGGAAGGGCGGTGAGGAGGAGGGGAAAGAATGCACCGTTTCCATCCCCACAGAGACTTGGGTACCGCCCACTCTGGGACCAGCCTTTCCTGGGTGCAGGGACAGTTCTCTGGGCTCCCTCCCACCTCACAGGAACCAGCTGCTGTGAGCTGATTGGGAAGGGGCACTGGTGCCTGGTGTGGATGGCGACAGATATGCTGTGGTCACTCAGGCACTCCCTCGTGGCCTTCCGGCCGGTGCCAGCATGCTCCGTCAGAAGTTATTCTTGGAGGCTCTGTTTTGACGGCGGTGGGGGTTCCAGTTCCCTGGTGATCAGCTCAGTCCAGAAATGCAGTCTGAGGGCGTGGCCCGTCTAGTTTGGGGCCTGTCTAGTCTAGGGTTCGTCTGAGCCCATGGTACTTGAGATAAGGGAACTGGGCAGTGAGCCCACAACTGGTGACTGGGGAGGTCAGGGAGGTGGCAATGACTGGGTGGTGGCAGTGGGGGGGTCCCCTGCTTGCTAAGGAGGAGTCCTAGCAGAGGTCATAGCGGAAGGGTGTGGTGTGGCACCCCCGGACATGCTAATGCCATCTAGACAAACCAGGGGCTTGGTGGTGGACACAAGACATGAGTTCAAATCCCACCTGGGGATCCCCCCCTCCCAAGCCCCCAGGTTGTCAGTCATCTGAGAAACAGGGAAGAATGGGGTACGTCTCCACTCTGAGTCACTGAGTGGGGTGGGAGACTGCAGTGGTCCAGGTGCTGGATTCTTCAGGGTGGTTAAGACTTAACCCTTCACCACTTTGGGGTGAGGGTGTGGAAGAGGCTGGGTGGCAGCCCCGAGTTTCCCTGAGCAGACTGCGTCCTGAAGGCTCCCAAGTGCCAGGGTGGGGCAGTGGGGAGGTGGGCGAGGAGGTGGGCAGGCAGGAACCTTCTGAAAAGCTGCCGCCCCACCCTCTCCACGTTCCATCAGGCCAGCTCCCTGCAGACAAAGGCCACCCTGTCCTGCCTGCCCTGGTCACAAGCCTTCTGTGCCAGCTGGCTCTGCCCTCAGAGGTTGCTGTCACGGGATCTTTCTCTCTGTCCACTTGGCACCATCTGCCATCTGTCCCCCTCCCTCTTTTCTCTGCCCTCCTATCTCCATCTCACTCACTCTCTCTGTTGTTCCCCCTCTTAGGGGAGAACCCCCAGCTCTACCCTTTCTCTCATCTATTTGCGATGCTCTTCCTCCCTCCTTATTCTGTCCCCCTCTTCTCTCTCTACGGACCCCACCTTCCCTAGAGCTTCTCTCCCCTTCGCTTCTCAATAACTATCCTTTCCTCTCCCTCCCCTCCCTCCTTCCTCTCCTCCCCTTTCCCTGTCCGTCTCCTCATCCCTCCCCTCTCTGCTCCTCGCCTCTCCTCCTCTGCCTCTCTCCCTACTCTCTGTCTACTCCACTCTCCACTCTGTATCTTTCTCTCTTTCTGGAGTTCCCCGATTCCAGATGTCCCGCTTGCCAGGTTCAGAGCCCCAGGCCTGGCCGAGCTCCCAGATGCCAAGCTAAGGAAAAGAAAACTGAAGATAGGTGCCAGGATTCCTTCTAGAACCACCTGGAAACGAGGGCCTGGCACCACAGCCTATTCCAAAGAGGGCAGAAGGTTCCAGTAGAAAGGACTCCTGGTCAATTCCCCTCAGGACCGCACCCACTTTTTCACGTTTGTAAAAAGCCAACACCTATGGATCTGTGATAGAGAGAGGGGCTGGAGCAGGACATTTAAGGCAGCACAGTCCAGCTCTGAGGCTATGTAAATGGACTCTGCTTGAAGATTCTAGAAAGATCTGAGGCTTAAAGAGATGTAGGAACCAGCTACTGATGGACAGAGACCTGGTACACAGACCTATACTCTGCCTGGTGTTCTATACAGACAGAGCTTAGCTGTCCAATGAGACCAGAGATCTCACGGGAGTCCAAAGGGCTTCAGAGGTCCAGGGACCTCCTGAAACTGCAGGTAAGATTTCACTGCGCCTAGCCCCGAGGAAGGGGTCTGGAAGCTTTCATCACACTCCCAAAACGGTCTTTTGGTACAAACCCTGCCAAATAGCTGAGACATCTACTAAGGACAGAGACTGGGTCTCTGTTGTGTGTCTGCCACAAGAACCAGCTACTCTGCGTGCATGCATTAAAACCCAAACGGAACCAATGCCACACAAAACAGGAGGCAGTCAGCAGAGAAACCAGTAAGCACGCTGCCATGCAGTCGATTCTGATTGACTGCAGCCCTGGATTCTGATTGACTGCAGCCCTGGAGGACAGAGCGGAGCTGCCCCACGGGGTTAAAACTGTAAATCTTTATGGAAGCAGATGGTCTCATCTTCCTCCCATGGCACAGTTTGAACCGCCGACCTTTCTACTTCACAGCTGAGCACTTTCACCATTGCACCACCAGTGCTCCTGCATGCTTTACCCGACCCCCTGCTAGAGAACCTCCCCCAGGTGTCAGGCTGTAAATCCCAAGATGAGGAGGCCACCCAGCTTCTCTTTCAGAGCAGCTGGTGGATTCAAACCACCCATGTTTGAGTTAGTCGCCATACAGGTTATAAGCACCACGCTACCAGGGCCCCTTCTCCACATGCATTCCCCACCACTATTCAGTGATGGATGGAGGACCGGCAGAGTGAAGGGATGCAGTCATGCCGAGGTGGGGTGGACTGAGGGCCATTCCAATTGATACCAAGCTTGTCTCAAGACCTGAAGCTGCACAACCCTCACCCCCGCCCCTCCTCAGGCCTGTTCACCAGCCTCAAAGACCAGAGACCCACCAGGCCTGACACACACTCAAACAACACACCCAGGCACATTCCCTGACATCAGCCAGCAGCCCCAAGCCTCCCTGCCCAGGACCCGGCAGGACAAGGTTAGTGACAAGCCCCCGCCAGGCAGCAGGTGCCGGGGAGCAGTCAGGACGTGAGACCCCACAGACCAGCCGTGTCCAGATGCCTCACTTACAGTCTCTTGATGCCAGACTCCGGCTGAGGGGATATCTTAGAGTGCGTGACAGGCGGAGGCTGAGATATCCGGTTTTCTTCTTCCATCTCCTCACTGAAGGGAGTAGAGAGACAGGAGATCAGAGAGTCAGTAACTGCAGGGGCTGGAAGGTTCTAGAAGGTTCCCTGTCTGTTGGGGACCATGAAGAAGGGAGCGCAGAGGGCAGGCAGCAGTGGTATGCTGACCCCTGAGCCGCTTTAAGGAGGCCATGGGCACAGCGGCCTGCGGTCTCTTTGGCCTAGCTGCTCTAATCGTGATGAATTTAAGGTTCTCTGGTGGCCTAGTGGCAAGAAGCTGCACTGCAATCCCGAAATCATTCGAATCGAGTCCACCAGCTGCTCCGTGGGGGAAGGATGGGCAGTCTCCTCCCGTGCAATTAACTGCCTCTGAAAACCCGCTGGAGGGCCCGCTGGGGGCCGGTTTCGACTCGATGGTACACAACAAGATTCCAGAACTACTGGAACTCCAGGCCCATCTCGCTTTCCTGTGCTGCCCAGATGCTGCACCTGTCACAGTTCCGTGCTCACCCTGCGTCGAACAGGTCCGTGCCGGTCTCCCCGTCACTGATCTTCTGACTGCTCTCTGTGTCTCCTAAGATTTCCAGCCGCACGCTTCATGGCTACAGCACAGCCAACGCCGCTGTGACACTAGCCCACCCATGTGACCTGCTTTATTGTGCCGTGAGCTCTATTGTGGTGGCTGAGGGAAGTCCACCTCATTTCCTATCCTTGTCCTTGACTCTCTTGGGTGACCTGGTCCATAAGGAATTGTGCAGAGCCTCTCTGATAGTTCAGCCCCTCCTCCCAGTGGCTCTGCCGGGGGGTGGAGTGGGGGGGGAAAGGTGGGCCGTCTCCTCCCGCGCGGGTCACAGCCTCTGAAAACCTGCTGGAGGGTCAGCTGTGAGTTGGTCCTGTCTCCACAGCAGTGAAGTGAGTTTGAGTTTTATCTTCATACCGTTTTGATTTCTTCCACCTAGAACATGCCACCCACCCTCCTCCACTTCCCACACCTTATCTTTTGAGAAAGGCCCATTTCCAACGTCGCCTCCAGGAAGCCTTCCCAATTTCCATCCCAGCCCCAAGCTGGCAATGATCTCGCCCTTCACTGAACACAAAGGGCTTTCCTTAGAAGCATGAGCCTGTATGGAAGCGCTTCCTCCCCAGACACCAGCACCATTGCGCCGATTCCAACTCAGTGACCCTGCAGGGACAGAGCAGAGCCGCTCGGGGGGTCCCCAAGGCTGGTCTGGAAGCACCCTGGCTCACCATTCTCCCAGGGGGCAGCAGGTGGATTTGAACCCTCACTTTCCAGTTAATAGCCCGATGCTTAACCCACCACACTCCCAGGGCTCTTTATATAAGTGCTTTAGGTCTGAGAAGTAATACCGGTCGCCACTGGGTCGGCGGACTCTCAGTGACCCCACGAGTGTCAGTGGAACCGTGTGCTTTAGGGGTCTCCAGGGCTGACTTTCTGGAAATGGGATGCCAGGCTTTTATTCCGCAGTGCTTACAGGCAGACTGGAGCGGCCCACCTCTTGGCTAGTCACCTGGAGTGTCCACTGATTGGCTGCACCACGCACGGACTCACGGGGTTCCAGGAAAGGGTGCAGCCCTCACGTCCAGGTGCTCACTGTGCAGGACGCCCCTGGCCTCTCGGAGGGGCACGGGGGGCCTGGCCACTCACCTCTTGTAGTAGGCCAGCTCCTCCTGCAGCATGAACACCTTGGACTTGAGCTCGTTACGTTCATGCAGTACGTCCCTCAGCTCCTGCAGCGTGAACCGGGGGCGGTTGGGGTCCTTCAGCTCCATGGCCAGCTTGTCCGCCTCGGACACGTCCTCCTCAGCGCCCGGCTCCACCTGGAGGGGGAGAGATGCCGCTCAGCACGTCCTGGCCGCCGCCTCCAGCCCCCACTCCGCACCCCAGTGCTCCCCAGTGCAGCAGCAGCCTTCACGGGGCTATTTTAAACAGCGGCAGGCTGGGGGCCTGTGCCGTGCGGGCGGCTCCCCCCAGAGAGGAAAGCTGGCGGCCACCTGCTCACTGTTCTCCCACACGGCAGCCGGCAGCACGCCCTGCCCGGCCGCGGAGGGACTTACCACACACAAGGAAAGGTGTCCAACAGGAAGAAAGGAAAAGCTGGGGTCCATCTCTGCCCTTCTCATCCCCTGCCCGCCTCCCCTCCAGAGCACCATCCCTCAGCTCGTGCTAAGAGGCGATGCTCATTTTCTCAGAGTTGAGGTACATGGAGAGGACAGACGCTGTGAACACAGACGTGCCTGGCCCACGGCAGGTGCTCAGGATGAGGCGCCAGCACCCCCGGAGGGAACGGCCTTCCCTGCGCCCGGGTTCATCTGGTCCACGGCCCTGTGCTCAGCCTGCTGTGAGGCTAGGCTGACCCAGCGGAAAGAGCTGGACCAACGCAGGGACAGCCCACCTTTAACTGACTACGAGGAGTCCAAGAGCTCTGCAGGCGTGTGGACTCCCGAGCTCCATCACTGAGCAAACCAAGCCCCCTAAATAACATACTTCTCTCAAGTGGACCCCAAATCACAGAGACCTTTGTGGATCAAGGAGATGTGCCCTACAGCACTTCTAAGGCTATAATCGTTATAGGAACAGACACTACCTCTTCCTTCTCCCAGGCGGTGGCTGGTCAGTTCCAACAGCTGACCTAAAGCCAAGTGCTTAATCTACTGCGCCACCAGGGCTCCTTTACCTTTGGGCTAGGTACTGATGACCCTGAGGACCACTGTCCAGAGTCCAGCTGTGCACCTCAACTGGAGAAACAGGCCAGCCGTGCAGATCCTGGAATGCTGACCGCCTGCCCCTGGCCAGGCCCTGCCCCGCCCTGCCCTTCATCTTCTCAGAGCAAAACAGGGCTTTTCTTTTTCTATTTATGGTGGTAATACACTCATGATGTAAAAACACCATATTAAAGTGAACCATTCAATGGTATTTATGGTGTTGCATATCAGTCGCCATTGTCTCATTCCAGAATGTTTCTATCACCCCAAAAGGAAAGTCTGTGCCCAACAGCAGTCACCCTGAACCCCTGTTGCTGTTAGGTTACTGTCCAATGCATGGCGACCCCAGGTACAACAGCAGAACCCTGCCCACCTCCCTGCCTTCCTCACAGTATGTGCTGCTTCTCATTGAGGGTCTTCCTCTCTCTCACCAACCTCCTCTCCTGAGGTCCATGACGGCCCTATTCCCTTCTTCCCCAGCCCCTGGTAACCATGGATCCACTTTCTCCTGTGGCTTTTCCTGTCCAGGCAAAGAAAGCAGACAACATGTGGCCCTTTCCGACTGGCTTCTTCCCCCGGCCGGCCTGTTTCCAGGGTCTAGCCACCCCATGGCATGCTGTAAACTGGACTCTGATGGCCGAGCATGTCCCGAGTGCACACACATGTCCATGTCTCCTTCACTGGTCATCAGTTCATGGACCACTGGGAAGTGTCCACTCTGGTTCCCGTACACGGTGCTTCTGAGGGCCTTTGTGTACATGTGTCTGTGTGGACGTGCGCGTTGGATTCTCCGGGTAAATTTACACCTGGGAGTGCAGGTGCCGAGTCACACGGTGCATTCTGAGCATCTGTCACCACCAGGCTGTTCGCACAATGACTGCATCGTTTGCATTCCCACGAGCCACAGGTGAAGCCTCTACTCCTGCCAGTTCCTCCTCAACTTTTGTTATCTCCGTTTCTTTGATGACAGCAAGGCAGCCTTTCCAACTGTTCCTTGCTGGTCAGCCACTACAGGTGGCCTGAAGTCAGGCTCTCACTCTCCTTCCAGGTCCCGTCTCTGCAGAAGGCCCTCACCTCTCTGTATCTCTGGCAGGTGTCGTTTTTTTTAAAAGGTTTTTTGTTTTGTTTTGTTTTGCATGTACCGGAGATTGTCCCTCCTTCTCCAGCAGAGCATCTGGTGGATTCAAACTGGCAGGTGTTATTTAAGAGGGGAAGGTGGTCAGGGCCAAGTCCCCACCTCTCAGGAACTCACTTTCCCTTCTGGCTCCCGACCGCCAGATCCTATGGACACACACTGTCACACCCAGAGGGTCTGCCTGGCCTTGCTTCGATGAATCAACGACTGCCTGGGTGTGGTATCCCAGTGCCCTTGAGCCACCAATGCCCCATGATGGACAACAGGGAGTGGACAAGGGCCCAGGATTGTGTGAAGTCTGGAGTGAATGAACCAAACCAAACCAGTGTCATCCAGCTCATTCTCACTCGCAGTGACCCGTCAGGACAGGGCCGCGCTGCCCACGATGATTTCGAAGGCAGTGAATCGTCAGAGAATCGGGCAGTCTTATTTATCTTTCTTCCACCAAGTGGCTAGTGGGCTTGAACCTGTAACCTCCTGGTTAGCAGCTGACTGCCTTAACCACTGTGCCACCCATCAATAAAAGGCAGACTGAAATACAGACTCCCTCCCCCTCCAGAGCCACAGGGAGGAGGAAGAGCCCAGCCTAGGGGGATTCTGCAGCCAGAATCCCAGGGACAAACAAGATGCCAGGCATCCCAGGGCACCAGGAACATCCTGTTCCGGAAAAGGACACTTGAAAGGAGACACCACCCACCAAGGCAGGGCAGGTGACAGCAGAGCCTCCCCCCAAGGGCAGGGCAGGGCAGGGCAGGGAATCTGGCGGACCAAGCCCAGCCTCAGTGTGGGTGCCAAGAAGCAGGGGTCAGCAGACGGCAGGGGGCTTCTCACCACGCCCAAGAGGTTTAATTCTGGAGAGGGCATCCTGGGTGTCCTCCAGTGCCTCCTCCTTTGGGCTGCCCCCCACACACCCTCGATAGCCCTATCAAGTCCCCTACCCACATCTGCTCGCGTGCAGTGAGCAGTGAGCTGCTGTGGAGTTGACTCTGATTCACAGTGACCCTGTGAACCACCCTGACGCTGCCCTGCTCTGCGCCATGCTCGCATCTCCGATCCGCTCGAGCCCGTCGTCCGTCACCGTGTCCACCGTGTCCAGTCTCCTGAGGGTCTTGAACAGCACTGACTGTCCCGTGGACTGTATAAGAACAAACACGTCCACCTCGGAGGAAACGCAGCCAGGCTGCTCCTGAGAGGCCAGGACAATCAAACTTTGTTCTGTACACTTTGAGCGCGTTGTCAGGAGGGACTAGGCCTTCTGAATCAGACTGGGAAAGGTGGAGGGACAGAGAGGGCAAACGTAGGTGGGAGACATCCAGCAACAGACTCCCCTCCTGCCAATGAGTCAGTTCACGACTCAAATCCTTCTCCAAGGCTGTAAATCTTAACAGAAATAGATTGTCCCATTTTCCTGGAGAGGCTGTTGGGTTCGAACTGCTAACCTTTTGGCTAGCAGCCTAACTCATTATATGCTACCAGAGCGCCTCATATTCAGCAGCCATTCAATAAGGCCAGGTCCTCTCCCCTGCCCAGGTTAGCTATGGGGCATAACTGCATGCTTAGTACCTATTTAACACGAATGGTCAGTTTTGTTCCAAACTCGGGGTTCTCAGCTGAGCTTGGAGATTAGAAGAGAAAGAGACTGAGAGAGGAGGGAGAAAGGAGGAGTGATACAAACAGAAACTTGAATGTAACACAGTAACAGATGTAATAATTCCAAGTAACTGGGGAGAATCAGAGATGTCAGTGCAGATGTGGCTTCTAAGGTGGAGTTTTGACGCATGTGTAGGAGTTCTCCAGGAACCCCTGAGCTCCTGTTTTACAGGTTACAAACTCACTCCACATGGAGTCCTTGCCGCGAATCACATTTTACCTGGCTTTCACTGTACAAAAACACTTTGGAATTATTTGCCAAATGTTCTAAATTGGATTTCACACCAAAGTCTAGATTGTTGGCTTCATTTTAGGGGAAGAAAATGTGAAGATCTTTCCACACTGGGCCCACACTCCCATGTGGCACCTTGGGCTGCAGCCAAGGAGCAGCGCCTTCCTCTCATGCCTTTTCTCCGGCTGCCCATGCCTGCGCACAGGCCGTGGCAACCCAGGCCATGGCCCCAAATCGCAAGCTCACACTCTCCTTGCAGCCCCCGTCCCCCTCCTTGCAGTCCCCGTCCCCCTCCTTCCAGCCCCCGTCTCCAAAGAACTCAGGCCCTGCTGGGCTCTGGGAAAGCCCCTCACCTCTCTGTGTCCTACCACAGGACAGGGCTAATTCCTCAACCAGCCCCACTCCACTCCACCCACGGGCCAGCCTCCGTCCGGCTCTCCTTTGCCTGGATTGACCCACCCCACCCTGTGATGGCGGAAACACTCATTCCATCCCACAGAACCCCTCTTTAGTGCCTTAAAGGCCTCTCTGTCCCAGCTTCCCAATTCCCTGTGGTCACCTTCAAACACTATGACCAATCGTCCCAGATGCACTAAATATACAATGTGCAAATCAAAGGTCACTCCTCATCTGACCAGTGAGGAAAATGACCACCAGACAGAAGGACCGACCCCAGTCACATGGGATGGGGTGGGCGGGGGTGAAGCCCACTGTCGTCCCCCCAGCTTGGTTTCCAAGCATCATGGGGTTCCCACCAGGGGCAGCCGAGCAACGTTAACCCCAGCAGAGACTGCCTGACTTAGGGGTTAGTTAAAACTGCAACCTGGCGTCACCCCCCTATTTCTTCCCTGCCCTTTCAGCTGTCAGGAAGGGAAGCTGAAACCCACTGAAAGTCAGGCCAAGGAGGTGTGAGATGCCCCGGCTTGTTGCTCCAGGGAAAGGGAGCAGGTCTAGGAGTCTCGTGGCCGGTGACGTCTGTGTCCTTGGCACACAGGCTGGACTGACCCTGCCTGGCCAGGGGGAGACATTCTCCACCCGAGCTTTCCTGGGGCCTGAGAGGCTGTTCCCATCACCCCCTCCTCCCCCATCTACCACCATTGACCTCGCCCAGCCGAACCCCTCATGGCTATGGCCTCCTTCCCTTCATTGGCTGACACAGCTTCGCCCCATCCACACTTCCTACCACCCAGCCTCCCACTCCCTCACAACAGATTTCGCCTGGCCTACACGCCTTCTTCCCACCACCGCCTCCCCTCCGTATCCACGGCTGTGCGCTCAGCTCAGCTCAAGCCTCTTTTCACCACTGCCTCCTCTCCCACCCACAGCCACCGATTTAGCCCCGCTTGTATCTCACCATGCCACTGTCGCCGTCAGCTCCTGTGCCATTCGAGCTGTCCTCAGCGACTGAGTCATGAAAACCAGAGGGGGCGCATCCTATCACCCTCCGGCCCCCGCCCCAAGCCCTGTGAACATGCTGTGCTGAGCCGGTCAGACACACAGGGACAAAGGGTGTAGGGTCCCGCGGCTGCGACGTGTCGAGAGCAGCAGAAACAGAGACAGAAAAGGAAATGAGCAGGAACCAGGAGCTGGGGGGCAGAGGCAGGGAGACCGCGCTGCTTCAGACTTTTCCTCACGCACGTGAATTCTGTGTGCTGGGAACCACCCAGCCGGGCATTCTTAGGGTTCTCGCTTGACTGCCCTGGACTCAAGGCAAACCTCTAACATCTCCAAGGGGTGCCTGGGCTTCATTTTGTTCACTCCGAAGTCCTGTGCCCACCCCTCATTTCGACCCCCCAAGCTGCTGACGCTGAAGATTGTTGTGACGGGTCGTCCAATATTTTTTTTTTTTTTGGGTCGTCCAATTTGAACCGACTTATTTCTGACCCTCCAGTGGGTTTTCAGAGGCAATAAACTGCACAGGAAGAGGGTGCCCATCCTTCTCCCTGGAGCCTGAAGATAAGGAAATGGCATTGCCTTTCCAAAGGGAAGGTTCAGGGCAGGTGGACACAAGGGTTGCCTCCTTCCCTGCCAGAGGACAGAAAGCCAGGCACAAAACCCTAAGGGAGCTCTGGTGGCCTAGCGGCAAGACGCTGCACTGCAATCCCAGAGGTACAGGGTTCAAATCCACCAGATGCTCTGCTGGAGAAGGAGGGGGCAATCTCCTCCTGTACCAGTCAGATCTGATTTGACGGTACACGTAAAAATAATACAATAAAAATTAAAAAAAAAAACAAAAAAAACACAAAAAAACACCAAGCAGAGGGCGGCCTCCATTCACAGGGCATCTGTTTTGATCTTCTTGTTGTAAAACACAAACACAGAAATTGCCTCCTGGGCCATTTCTATAGTTCAGAATTCAGTGTCTGGGGTTCATTATATTCAATCTCACCATTATTTGTTTCCAGTACCTTTCTTCAAGGATCAGAGAAAGACACTGCAAAGAAATGGTGGTGAAATCCTTGACACCTTTGATTATGTTGCTTATTTTGCTGAGTTAGGAGGATTTTTTGTTTTCTTTATCTTGAGGTGTCATCCATACTGAAGGCTGTAGTCATCGATGATCTCAGGAGGTGCTTCAAGACCTCTTCATTCTCACCAAGCAAGGTTTGGGTCCTCTGCATCTTGCATGGTATTGATGAGTCTTCTTCCAATCTTGATGCCACTTTGAAGATTAAATAAATATGATGAAAAGATAAAGTCTGGCACATCTCTTTCTTGACTTTAAACCCTATGTGTGCCATTGTTTGTTTGGTTTTTTTCAAACAATACCTCGTCATCCATGCACAGATTCCACATGGGCAGAATTAAATGTTTTGCAATTCTCCTTTTCCTCAATGTTACCTAGAACAGCCAAATATGTCTGCATGGGTACTAAATACAGATAAACCTCCTTCTGGTCTTCCCTGGTTACAGCCAAGTCAGCAGCAATGCTATCCCTCATTCCATGTCCTCATCTGAACCCTGCCTGGCTTCCTGGCCGTTTCGTAGAGATGAACCCTTGCAGCCAGTTGTAAATTATCATCAGCAAGATTTTACTTGCATGTGACAGTCATGATACTGCTTGATAACTGCAGCATTTCACTGTATCACTTTTCTTTGAAATGGGTACAAACATTGGCTCCCTTCCAGGTGGTCACCCAGGATAAGGTATTCTGCTAAACTTCTTGGCATAGGTAAGGGGGTACACACATTTGCTGAAACATTTTAATGGATATGCCATCAATTCCTGAAGACTTGCTTTTTTTTTTGGCAATGCCTTTGGCACAACTTAGACTTCTGCCATCAGTATCATTATTTTATGCTCACACTCTGCTTCCTGAAGTGGTTACTTACTGACCAGTTCTCTGTGATACAGTTACTCTCTATTCCTTCTATCTTGGTTTGATGCTTCCGGAGTCAATATTTCCTCCATAGAGTCCTTCAGTATTGTAAGTTGAGGCTTGAATTGTTTCAAGTTTCCAAAAGTTGAGGCTTGAATTGTTGTCAGTTTACAAAATGCCACGGGCGTTCCTCCCTTCTGGTTTTCTAACTCTAGAACTGTGCACATTTCATTAGAATATTTTGCCTTACCTAGTCTAGCCACTCTTTGAAATGATCTTTCCAGTTTTATTGCATTATTTCTTCTTTTGCTTTCACTTCTCTGAACTTTACTGCCAATTTCAAAGTCTCTTCAGATGTTTATTTTTGTCTTTTCCCCCCTTCCTGTCTTTAATTACCTTTTGCTTTCTTCATGAATGATGTCTTTGATGTCATCCCTCAACTTGTCTAGTGTTTAGTGCAGCAACTCTATTCTTTCTTTTTTTTTTGTGTGTGTGTGTGCCATTAAATCGAATCTGACTGGCACAGGAAGAGATTATCTCTCCTTCTCCAGCAGAGTATCTGGTGGATTTGAACCTCACACCTCTGAGATTGCAGTGCAGCTTCTTGTCACTAGGCCACCAGAGCTCTCTGCAAATCTATTCTTGAGCCAGTGTTTCAGTTCAAGTGAAATATATTTAAGGTTGTCCTGGGGCTTTCTAGGACTTGTTTTCATTTTCTTCCACTTCACCTTGAACTTGGATCTGAGCAACTGCATGTTGCTTCACAAGTGGCCCCAGCCTTGTTCACAGAAATGATACTGATCTCCATCACCTCTTGGCACAGATGGGGTCCAGGCCATAGTTTCCAACTACTGAGCCTTTGTTTTCCAGTTTCACATTCTAATCAGTAATTACCAATGCATCTTGGCTGCACGTCTGAGCAACTTCAGACAGCAGACCCTGAGTATCTATTTTCAGCCTTCGTGGTCAGTGTGTAAACCTGAGTAACAGGTGTGTTAACAGATCATCCTGGCAGGCCTGTGGATATGATCCCATCACTGACTTCACTGCCTGTCGTGACAGTCCCTTGATGATGAGCACGAGGCCATGCCTCTCAATCTGTCGCTGCAGCGTCGTACACCACGGGGGTTGTCCAACTCTGAGAGACCAGCCCCTGTCCACATCAGTCCAGCAAAGCTTAGAACACGGATGAGCCAGTTCTAGACGTTTCACAGAAAGGGAATCCTGTGACGCGTGGCCTTCCGTAACTGGCTTTCCTCGCTGAACACCATGTTTTCTACGTTCATCTATGGTTTAACTTCTGTTGGCACCTCCTTCTTTCGCGCAGAGCCCTGGGATACTGGGTTATATGTCAGGCTGGTGATAGAAAGGTCAGCGGTTCAAGTCCACCAGCCTTCTGCAGGAGGAAGATATGTCTTGGATACCTGATAGAGGATCACCCTACTTCAGAATCAGCCCCAAAGCAGTGGGATTTTGTTTGCTTGTTTAAGATGAGTTGTTCCTACTTTTTGCCAGCTGGGGACGGTGCTGCCGTCGACGCTCACGTCCAGGTTTCTGGGTGGACCTACATACGTGGTCATTGACCTCGTCCATACCCAGGCCTAGAGCTGCTGGGTCGCATGGTATGGGCTGACTAGCGTCAGTCCTCCTTCCCAAGGGTGAAGTCCGTGAGGACAGGAGCCAAGTCCGTGCCCTCTCCCATTTACCCCCTGCACCTGCCAGAGCCAACAGCTGCTTGAATGAAAAATGAGCAGCAGGTGCACAGAAACCGTCTCTGAGCCGAGCACCCTGGGTTAGAGCCCGGCGAGTCCTGCGCTCCAGGCCCAACTCTGCCTCACCCCAGCTCTGCGTCTCTGGGCCAGCAGCTTGCCCTCTCTGGACCTCCCATTTCCTCAAATGGGGGCTGCGTCTGGCCGACCTAAATCCAACTGGCTGGCTGCCTCCCGCCTCAGCTCCCACTCACCTCGGGGGTCTCCTCCGCTCCGTTCTCGCTGGGCTCGCCCTGCAGCCTCTCTCGGAGCTTCCCGAGCTCGGCCCGCAGGCGTCCCATCTCCTGCTCCTTGGTCTGCAGGTCAGCCTCCAGCTCCACCTTCTGTTCGATCAGGGACTTCCCTTGGGCCTCCACCACCGTGACCCGGTGCCGAAGGTCATGGTTGATCTTCATCAGCCGGGTCTGCTGCTGCTGCAGCTGCAGAGAGAAGACAGGCTGCTGGGCAGGGCCGCCGGGCAGGGCCTCCGGGCAGGGCGCTGGGGAGGGCCCCCAGGCAGGGCCGCCGGGCAGGGCCGCCGGGCAGGGCGCTGGGGAGGGCCTCCGGGCATCACAGTAAAGCAGTGAAATCAAAGTGGGTCACACAGGGCGTCTGGTTTCCCAGCACATCTGAGAGGCATGTTTACATCAGAGAGCAGTGAAGCGGGCAAGGGCATCTGAAGTGGACAGTGCTCCGAGAATGGTCAGAATGGAGCAGACATGAAGTGAGAAGGACCGACAGACCTGCTCGACACAGGGCTGCCATAACCTGCAACCTGTAAAAAGTGCAAGCTCTGCCAAGTGCAACAGAAAGGTATGGCTGTGTGCATCACAATAATTATGTAACAGATGGGAGGAAAGCACGAGTCAGAATTAGTATATTATGACAACCTGCCAAAAGATGGAAGCAACGGGCCTTGAGAGAGGGTGCCCTCTAATCAGGAGGCTCCGCATGGGTTTCCACAGCAACCAGGGCGCCTCAGCCCGCTCACCAGGGACACAGAAGGGGTGGCTGGGGCCGCTTCTGGGCTCAGAGGAGAGGACAGCAGGGTGACGGGACCCTTCCAAGGGGGGGACAGGATGAAGCAGGACAGGGCAGGGATTCCTCAAGGTGTAGATGGGATTTCCCAGGGTGTGGATGGACCTCAAGATGTACACGGAACCCCCAGACTATGGGTGTCAATGAGACTCCAGGGTATGGATGAATCTCCAAGATGAAGATAGAACCCCCTAGGATGTGGATGCAACCCCAAAGTGTAGAAGGACTCTTCTAGGGTATGAATGGGACCCTCTGAATATGAATGGGACCCCAGGGAGTAGATGGAACCCCAGAGAGTATGGATAGCACCCCAGGGTATGGATAGCACCCCAGGGTATGGACAGGACTCCAGGGTGTAGACGGGCCCCCTGGGTGTGGATGGGCCCCTGAGATTGGGATGAGACCTCCCAGGTGTGGATGGGACCCCAGACTGAGGATGACAACATGCCACTGGGCAGTGTCACATTCCCTCCTGCTCCTCCAGGGAGGAGGAAGGGACAGTAAGGGTCACCCCATCTCCAGTTTCAGGGCTAGGTCCACCAACTGGCAGGCACAGGAACGACACCCAGGAGGAGAGGGACCCTGGGGGGGGCAGTCTCACACGCACGCCCACCAGCCAGGAGGGTGCAGTGGGGCGCACTTACAGCCTCCACGTCCTCGTTCTTCAGGCCGAGCTCCCGGTCCTTGGCGCGGATCTCATCCCGCTGTTTGTCCACCACCTCCTTCAGCTTCTTCATCACCTGCCGTTCTCGGTCGGACATGCCTGGGGTGGGAGCAAAGCCAGCAGGTGAACCTAGCTCCATGCTCCATGGTAGTCTACAGCAGCTTCCTCATGGCCCCCAGAGGCTGCCTCCTCCCCAAACTCATCAACTCTCCACTCTTCTTTATTGTTACTGTTATTATTATTATTAACGTGTGTGTGTGTACCGTCAAATCAGATCTGACTGGTACAGGAGGAGACTGTTCCTCCTTCTCCAGCAGAGCATCTGGTGGATTCGAACCGTGCACCTCTGGGATTGCAGTGCAGCTTCTTGCCACTAGGCCACCAGAGCTCGCCAACCCTCCACTCTTCTTATACACAAACACACTCTGCTTCCTGGTCAGAATTCTTTCATGTGCATTCCCACGTCTGCCTGGAAGTCTCACCTCTGACCCCGTCCTCATCCGCCAGGCTTCAGCTCAGACGTCACCTCCTCACACACCTGACCTCCCAAGAATACCCCTTGACTATCAGGATTCATGCTGTTGTAATCACACCAACATGCGTGTTCGACTGATGATTTCAATTCTTCTGGGAATTCCTACTGCCCACTGTCCTCCAGGTGCTTCGAACTCACCAGGACCCTGGAGGACAGAATTGACCTGCCCCGCTGGTTTCTGGGGCCCCCAGCATTTAGGAGGGCAACCAGCCTCATCTTCGACAGCACAGGCGGTGGGTGCAAACCACAGGCATTTCTGTAGCAGTCAAATGCCTTACACGCAGTGCCACGAGGACTCCTCTTTGGGGTTCACACCTACGATAAACAGTTACCACAAACAGATTCTGTCCGGCTCATGGTGAGTCGGGACCAGAACTGTGCCCCGTGACGGGTTTTGGTGGCTTCTTTTCTGGACACATCAGGTCCTTATGCCAAAACTGCTCTGGATACACTTGCATCTCTAACCTTCTGATTAGCAGCTCAGCTTATTTACCATTTGCCTCACCCAGGGGCTCCGCAAACCCAACAGACAACTCTAAAAAGAACAATTAAAAGCTTCTGGCGAGCTCTGATGGCCTAGTGGCAAGAAGCTGCACTGACAGCAATCCCAGAGGTGTGCGGTTCAAATTCACCAGATGCTCTGCTGGAGAAGGAGGGGCAATCTCCTCCTGTACCAGTCAGATCTGATTTGACCACACACACACACACACATACACACACACACACACACACACACACACACACACACTCTCTCTCTCTCTCTCTCTCTCTCTCTCTCTCTCTCTCTTAAAAAACAAAAATAAATCTCAAAGCACTGCCATCGGGTCATTTCCAATACAGAGTGAATCGGTGAGAGGCCAGAACCGCACTGCAGGTTTCCTAGGCTGTAAATGTACACGGGACACACCGCCTCATCTTTCTTCCACAGAGCGGCTGGGGGGTGTGAACTTCTGACCTTTCAGCGAGCAAGCCCATGGTTAACACAGCGCACAACCCACGACTTCATTCCCTTTACAAGAGCCTGTGGTTGTGTCTCTAACACCCGGGCTTGGAGGCAGAGCCGACGTTGGGGAGGCTGAGTTCCGGGACTCCAAGCCTGGACCCCTCACCTCCCTCCAGCCTCGGGTTCTCAAATGCAGTGTTTTTTCCCGGGATGACCCAGACACTCGCTGTCGTCTCTGGCTACTCGGTTAGCCAAGGCCTCACAGCAGCCCGAATCCCAGGGGAAGGACAGACTGCCACACTCAGCTGTGGATCAGACCGTCACCCGTGAGAGTTTGGGGTCTTGTTTCATTTTAAACTCTTTATTGTTACTTGGGTAAGAGTTTACAGAGCAGTTCGCCATTCAGCAGTTCATACGTGTTTAAACTGGCACTCTTCCCCCTTCCTCCCTAGCTTTCCCATTTCCACTATTCCTTCTTCCCTGCCCCTTCCTGCCTTCCGAGTCTTCTCCCTGGACAAACGCTGCCCTAATCAATCTTGGATGGTTGATTTTCTAAGGAGTACATTCTCCCTGGGACCACTACTCCATTATGTGGTGGAAAGCTAGGCCACAGGGGTGAATTCATTCGCAGCGTTGAAGAATATTATATAAAATGGGAGACCCTGGAGGGCATTATGCTGAGTGAAATATCTCAGTCACAAAAGGACAAATACTGTAGGGTACTATGGTTATCACAAGAGTCCAGAATTAAGGTTGCATAGTGGAGTGCACTCGGGGTGCAGGGCGGGGGGGATTGTATACCAGTGAAGGAGGTTTTCTTTTGCTTTTTGAAGAGAGGAGAGAAAGGGCCGGGGGGAGTGGGCAAGGAGAAAAGTGCAACAATGAATGAATGGAAATCCAAAATCTCTGTAAATGTTCATTAAAATTAATGCAATAAAATTTTTTTTAAAAGATGGAAAAATACATCATAGTGCCACTGTTGTAAAATGGGACTGCCATCGGGGTTGAGGGGAGACAGAGAAGGAGGTGATAAATGATGTATACTGCATTGTTAACAGATGAGGGAGGGAACCGTTTAAAAGGGACATGTGATTAGGTATTATTGTCATGAGAGGATGCAGAGTGAAGGTTGTACAGTGGAGTGGACTTGGGGGAGGGACTGGATAACAATGAAAGAATTTTTCTTTTACTTTTCAAAGAGAAGAGTGAACTGGGGGAGAGGGTTGGGCAGGGAGAAGAGTAAAACAATGAATGCATGGACATCCAAAATCTCTGTAAAGTTTCATTAAAATTAGTACTATTACTTACTAATAAAAGAATGGGCCTGTCTCAGAAGATCACATTTTTTTCCTTTGTCTGAGTTTCACAAGTAGGTTCCCAGGCCGTTCCTCCCAGACCACTGAAACCTGTTCACCATCAATCACAGCAAGGCACAAGCACTGACAGGCAGTGACCTGCACGGAGTGCGCTGGCTGGGATTCGAACTCAGGTCTCCCCGTGGAGAGCGAGGATTCCGCCACTGCGCCCTCATGAGTTAATCTGTGAGAAGTGCTTACAAAGCCAGCTGACCTGGAATGCGAGAGGCCGTCTGAGGGCCCGAGTGTCAGCTGTCCCCTGGCTCACAGGATGGAAATGCCAGCACTCCCGCCTCACAAGCTGCAGTGAAGCTGAAAACCAGGAGTGGGCACGGCAGGCGCTGGTGCATGAAAAGAAGGCCAAGTGCCTTCAGTAGCCTCGCGGACGCCGATAAACGCCGAGGAGTTCTGGGCAGCGGTCAGTCACCACGGCGCTCCCCTCAGACACGCGGGCAGAAGCACAGAGCCGACAGCCAAGGGATGGGAGGTGTTAGTGTGAGGTGCCAGCAAGTGCCATCGACCCACAGCGACCCCACGCATGACAGCAGAACCCCACCTGCTCCTGCACCGTCCCCAGAGTGGCTGCCATGTCCGAGCCCACTGCCGCAGTCACTGTGTCGGTCCACCTCACCTCCCTGTCCCTCTCCTCGGCCAAGCACCTTGTCCTGCTCCAGAGACCGGCCTCTCTGTATACCACACTCAGAACATGTGAGACAGTCTCCCTGCCTCGGCCTCTCTGTAACATTCTGACTGCAGTTCTTACAAGACGGAGGTGTTTATGGCTGTAGAAAACCTGGTGACAATCTCCCAGCCAGGAGATGGCTCACCAGACGATGGAGGACCTGACAGAGACCCTGTGTCTCCAGATTTGGGAGAAGAGCCTGGCGGTTGGCTTCAGGAGGTAAACACAGGCTTAGCGGGACCTGTGTGAGGCGTAACCTGTCAGAGCAGGAAGATGCTGACGAGTGTCACGTTCCCATTACACGGAGCCGCCCTAAGCTTTGTTGTAATTAAAGGTTGTCAAGAAGCACTGGTGGTGCAGTGGTTAAAGTGTCTGGCTGCAGGGGAAAAAGGCCAGTTGTCTGAACCCATCTCAAGTGATAGGACCTCGAAAGGGCAGAGCTCCAGTCTGTCAAAGGCAGACACGCAGGAGACCTGGAAAAACAGAGCAGGCAGGCCGCATTCCGACTCCCCTGTATCTCCACTCCGAGCCACATGCCCAAGGCCTCGGAGCAGGTGCGCTCAGACCACTGGACAGCGCCGGTCACCCCAGTGACCAATGGTGGAAGCACCCCGAGTGCCCACCAGCAGATGAGGGGATCAACGTGGTGCGTTTGGTCCACAGCATGAAATCAGTGTACCGGGAGTGCAGAACAGAGGTGAAGGACTGGGGAGAAGAGTAGAGAACTCTGCACCAGAAATTTTTCACCCTGGCTGGGTGTGCAAAGGGTATTATCTGGGAGCTGTGGGGTTTGCTAAGATGCACTGTTGGAATTCATTTCAGCCACTTCCTTTTGACTTATTTCACAAATGATTTGCAGGGAACTTAAGTCTGCACCTGCAGCTTGCATTACGTTCTCCTGAGATGATGCTGCTCAATGTTGCAACTCGCAGACGTCAAGACGTACAGGTAGTACAGGGGTTAAAGCGCTGGCTGCTCCCCGGAAAGCCACTCTGGACCCATCAGGTGCTCTAAGGCGAGACGGATGAGGCAGGCTGCTCCTGTGAAGTCAGGGCCCTGCAGACACGCTGGGGCGTCCTGCTCCGTCCTCCACTGTGTGCACCAGAACTGACACGGCAGCAGCGGGACTGGGCTTGGGCTGGAACCCTGTCCAGCAGGCCCCTGAAGTACGGAAACGCCATGTACAACGGAAAAGCAACCCCGACCCTACAACGTCCACCAGCAGGTTTAGAAATCAGCAGTTGTGATCCAGACGACGTCGCTGGCTGACTCTGACCATCAGATCACCAAGCCTTTCTTCCTTCTCTCATCCCACTGAAACCCACCCACAGCAACGCACAGGCCTCCACCCACAGGGAGCTGGTGCTAAGATACTTTATATGACATACACTGACCGGGAACTGAACCGGGCTCTCCTTCATGGAAGGCGAGAAGGCTACCACTGAACCGCCAGTGCCCCACCCTGTCCTGAGCTCAACCCTTCAGAAAATGACCATATGGTAGGCTGTCACCTCTCATGATTAACTCGTTCCCCCAAAGACACAGCATTGCTGAAAACAGAAGATTAAACAGGCAAGCAAAGATCAGAGGGAGTGACCATCATCGAGACAGAAAGAGCCAGAACAAGCCAGAACAGAGCACATCATTTAGACCAGGGATTGCTGTGCTGGGACCCTCTCAGACCCAGGGGAAGCCTGACAACAAGGACCTACCCACAGGGCTACTGAGACAAAGGCTTTTCATAAAGTAGTGCCTTGAACTCTGACTTCAAGCTGATCATACTGCAAGATAAAGCATTTCTATTTGTTAAAGCCACCCACTTGAGGTCAAAGCAGCACTGGGTGACTGAGACAGTGCACTGTGGTGTCTGTGTTACAGCAGCACTGGATGACAGACGGTGCACTGTGGTGTGTCTGTG